TCCACTTTGTCGTGCTCCAAGCAGTCCGCGTGTAGCGATCGAACCTCTCGAAGTTTTCGCAATGTTTCGTCGAGCTCGCTTTGGACCAGCCGACGCGTGTTCGAGTTTATGCTTTACAGACCTAGATGTCATGGCCTCATGAGATGGGTCATGGAAGCAAACAAGTAGCTTCCAGCTCGTCGCCGCACTAGAGTTTTGGGTTTGGGGATTTTTTGGGCTTGGAACTTCGGAGGGTGGCTAATGACCTGCTCTGAATCTACCGAGTAATTATATTGGAGATGATAGGGTTTAGAGAAGTTCCATCTGGCTCGTGAAATGAAAAGGTCAATCCCAGGCAGCAATGAAGCACTCTTTTTCTTATGAAATGGAAAGATTCGCTATGCGCTGAGACATGTTTCGCCCCTAAACGCTGGGGCTCGTCAGCCTGAGCCCAAACACCAACAGTGCAGCCACCCTCAACTGCAAATGCGTGCAAGGCAAAGAGACTGACATACAACACTAGCGAACAAAGAGCAAACAAGACGATAATTTTGCCCACCCTGCCACGTAAATTTGCACAACAAGCGGAAAAGATTCTTGCCAACGGACCATCGTGGGCGAAATCTAACACGCTTGCCCAATATGTAGCTCGCTTTCATTGAAGCGGATCTCAACATAGAGGACCACCGCACGTGCTCAGCACCTTTGACATATTTGATGTTAATACCGAATGTATCGGTCTTCTCAATTCGGCGTTTCACTTTGTTCATCCTGGCGTGAATCAGTTTCCGTCGAAACTCATGTGGGAATTTCCGAAGGATTTCTCTAGCTTTGGCGATGTCGTAGCCTCTGCTCCGTGCCTTAGCCAGAAAGAAACCCACCTCCCGCAGATAACTCCTTTCACACGTGTTTGTCAGGAGCAGTCGCTGAATTCACTTGTGAGAATACTGACCTGAGTAGCCGGATGATGCGCCGAAGAGGCCGGCAGATAGTCATAGATATTTTGATCTTTGCGGTATGTTGCGCAGTAAATTCTGCCGCCTGTGGATCTGAGTCTCACGTCCAACAAATGCACATCCAAACCACATGCCAAGTCTTTGTCTTGGACAACAATCATAGGGTGCCAGGAATTCAGATGCCGCAGAATGCGAGAGCGATTGCCCTGCTTCACAATTCCTCCACCATCATCAATGTAGCGTACATACTTGCGAATCGGCAGACGCGAGTCCAAGTGGAAGTCAAAACCCTTCGAAAGGAAGATGTTGGCAATAGTACTTGCGCACGATAGTCCAGTCGTCAGCCCAACTTGTTGCTGGAAGAAACACACGTCACCCTCCAAGCAAATGGAAATCACTGGGTGCAACAACAAAAGGCGCAGTAACTTGATGAGGAAGTCTGCGTACAGGAACCTTCCAGGAGCCGCGTAATAGTTCAATACATCATGCCCCACCACCGTTTGCACAGACATGGCGTCATCTTTGCAAATGAGACTTGGATACAAAGCCTCAATGTCAAACGTGAAGAATTCTTTGTCCTCTGCTAACTCATCAGTCAGAAAAAAGTCTGAACATCGAGACAAGTGCGCTTGTCCGACTCACCGATACTCGTACCAGCAGAGCGGTTGTCGATGTAGCCCGCTGCTGCAGGTTGCCAACCGCCGACCATTGCTCCTGCCCGAGACACCCACATTGCCCATCAGGTGTGCTGCTCAGGCAATAAGACATGAACATACATGAACAAGAGGGAGATGAAAGAGTGGCCAACTGTCAGGTTATGTGTATCACTGTCCCGCCAGATACGACCACCTTGCTCCTGGTGGCGGAGTTGGCGGACACGCAGGTACGCTGAGCCAGACACTGCCGCTGGCCCAAGCCGATCTAAACCCTGCGCGACCGGCTGTCTTCTTGCTTTTGGTTTCCGATGCATCCATTTCACATCGGGTGGCACCTCTTTCGGCCACCGAGTCTCACCACTCAAACGTAAAGGAGCCGCGCATGGAGCGTAAGTACAGAATCACCCCTGAATCAGCAGAGGGCCACCTCAAAGGTGTAGGGCCCAAGAATGAAGGGATGTTGTAGCATGCATCGCAAACGGCTGAAGAGAAAGGTCTTGTAGTTTCCCTTTCCCTTCCCTTTGATCGCCTGTTTCTGCACCCTGCATTCCGTTTGGCCCACAGCCCGAACACCAAACTTGGCGTGTCCACTCACCGCGGGTTTGGCACATGCATGGTGTATGGATGTGTATGGTGCAAGTTGGCTCTGCCGGCTTCTGGAGGTGGATACTCTTTGAATGCCCGGCCTGCGGTTTTCGTTTCCCAGGCCATGCAGTTGCCCTTCTGGCCTTGTGTAGCAGTGCGGTTTGTTAGCACGACTGTGTCTGCAGCCATGCCTTCTTTGCAAGGCGCAGCGTGCCATCAACGGCCGCATTCTGATGCCCATGCCTCCACAAGGCCATGGCAGAGATGCTGGGCGGTGTGCACACATAGTATAGCAATCTCGTGGAGGTCCACAGGGGCCTGTATTCATTCCTCTGGTCATGCCACCAGCTCTGCCGCCAGGAGGCAGAAGCATCTTGCTGCTGTAGGTTGACTGGCCTAATTAAGTCAGCCCCGTCGGCTCAGCCAGGCAACTTCTTCATGGCTGGCTATAGTCAGGATTTGCGGCAGCCGATACCAACGACGATGGCTGGAAACACAGTTCCGCTGCGGCGTTGCGTTGCATTGTGGCAGCAGGCAGAGTCTCTGAGGGAGCCGGTATGGTGATGTATGGTGTCAATGCCAACAGTTGCTAAACATGCTGAGGGCGCATGCTACAATTTGCCGACGGCACAGCCCCCTCAGCCGCCGCCTTCTAAGTGCATTGATGAGACTTGGTGTAATGCCTCACCCCGTGAGCCACTTTATTTAGTCCATGCAACTTCAGGCGCGTTCCCCTTACTGCTCACCTCGGAGCACTGCGACCTAGGCTGTGGCCACCTTGCAGGGGAATTTGACATGACACATGATATGCAGACATATGCAGACCACAAACGCTGCGCCAAGCTCCACGGCCAGTGCCTGTCTTCCAGTTCTGACCTCAGGCAAATAGGACACACGGGTTTCTGCAAAGCATTCTGCCGGCATCCTTCAAGCTACTTCAAGCTGCATGCAGGCCTGGGCACCAGGGCAAGCGTGGCCAGCTCGCGCCACAGTTCGGCTTCATGGCTGCATGTGTGGTTCATGTCGCAGCATCATGCCAAGGTACTTTGGTGGATCGTGAGCATGCCAAAGGCAGGAGTGGCATTTTGACGAACCAGCTTCGACACTGCAGACTTGATACAGCAAGTGCTGCGTTATACCATGGGGCAGGAATGGGTGCCAGAGGTGAGCAGCGAGCGGATTTGAGATTCCCGACCCTTCAACAAATCGGAAACTACTTCGCGAATCAAAAACTGCGCGTCAGGTGAGCTGGATTCTGCAGAGAATCTCCGCATCAAAAAAACAGACGCGACTCAGAAACTGCAAGTCAGAACCTGTCTGCATCAGAAACCAGGGCGAATCCCAAACTGCGAGTAAGAAACCAAGCTTTTAAACGGGGGAGATGCGGGAGAGGGATGGAGAGGGGGTGTGGCATGGGCGTGGGTGGAGGTGGTCGCGTCCAAACCTGGCAGATTACCTAACACGGGAAAGCCGAAGCAGCCGTTTAGTGGTTTCCGATTCAGCTGACGGGGTTTCCGATTCAGCCGTTCTAGTTTCCGAATTTTGAGTCGACCGCGCGCGCTGCAGGTCCTGCGACAACGCGCGCAGGAGGGGCCAAACTTCATTCAGAGTAGCTGAGTAGAGTAGCGGAGTCTTTCGAAGCGACGGGCCATGCTGCAGTATCAAATGATATGAAATGAAGATTTTCGCAGTCCATGGGGTTGAGCTTTCTGCGTGAGCGTGTTGCGAAAGCACACAGAGCGCCTAAGCCCTAAACATGGTTAGGGCCGAGGACTCACAAAGCCGAGCCAGTTTCCATTGCAGGCCGCGCACCAGATCGAAGCTGTGGTCTTGGACTGCTGGGATGTTTAGGGCAAACTTAGGGTTTAGGATTTAAGGTTAGGGTTTCAGGGTTTAGGTTGTAGGATTGAGGAATTAGGGTGTAGGGGTTGGGGTCATTCTCGGTTGCGTCTGTTTCTACAGCGCCCAAGGCCTAGAATTCAGCAATCCTAGTGGCCGAACCAACGGCCGAAAGGACATGCCCATCACTCTCCCCAGTGGGACCAGGTTTCTGGGTTCAGGGTGTTTAGGGGTTTCGTGTTTAGGGGTTTATGGGTTGAGGCTTAAGTGACCCTGTGCATATTTGTGCATGGCGCAGTCCGGCAAAGTCCGACACGCCCAATGTGTGCACCCGATGCGCATTCGGGTGCTCTCTGACTGCGCACCCATCGCCTCCGTCGCACCGAGTGGCATTGAATACAGAGATGCATTTCGCTCAAGGTTGGCTCGCGCTGAACAGCTAAGTACGTCAGCTCCGCAGCTTGATAACCAGTGACTTTTTCAAGGCTCACACATTTGCAACGGACACTGGGCTCTTGAGTTGCAATGTTCCACAACAAACTTCATCGGATCGAAGCTTGGCCCAAGGAGCTCAAAGTTGCAGCGGGATGCATAATTTCTAAAGCCTTGTCCCAAAAGTCAAAAGAACCGGAAGCGCTTCAGATTCAGACCTTAACCTCTCAAATCCTTAGGCCCTGAACATTCTCACCCCAGGTCTGGACGCCACACACGCCATAACCCTGAATCCCACCTTGACTAACAACGCAACCCTAAATGCCCCTGAACGTCCAGTTCTTGCAAACCTCTGAGTCTCGTTTGGAAGATCTCAAGCTTAGTTGTGCGTTGCACAACTCCTTGTGCCAAGCGAAGAAAGCGAGCCAGCCTGATCGGCAGGCAGCACTGGCAATGAGTACGGGCAGAAGATCATCGGGGCGGGCAAGACGGTCCCAGAAGTGGTCCCCGCAGAGCTCCTGGAGGAAAGTTTTGCAAAGAGTTGGAGGTTGCCATGGAGGCCATGGTGGAGGTCATGCTGGGCCTGGGGAAACTCATCCTGGAGTATGTCCAGCACAAATCGTCCGTCGGCTTGCATGGTTACGAGTTGGAAGAAAACTATGCGCGACAGGAAGCCACCATCCCAGCAGCTGCTGTGACATGTTACATCCTGAAGATGTTGAAGGACAAGTTTCCGGAGGATATGTCCGACCAGAACTCAGAGCTCTTGTCAAACGACGAGAAGTTTGCGGAGACTGTGTCGTCGTTCCTCTCGAGCTACGACTTGAATCCCGAGGCAGATGTTGCAAGCGCGTCGGAATGGTACGGCCTCTGCCAATCGTACGCAGCAGATGCAGAGGCTGCCCCGGACAGGTATTGGGTACTCAATCCTGTAGACACTACATGGACACAGTGCGTCATCATGAACAGTCAAATCGGAATCGACTCGGGCTGCTACAGAAGATCAAGCGCCGTAACGATGGCCAGCAGCTGCGCGTCGCAGAGCATGCGCGGATGCGCCAGGTGATGGGGCTCAGCAATCTTGGCGTTGAGGGGTGCACCCAAGTCCAGGACTATGTTGGCCCTTGCGAGAGGCTGGGTTTGCAAACGTGCTGGTAAAGGTCTTATGAGGAACCTGTCCGCACCGAATGCAGCCGCGAGCGGCGACAAAGACCGCCCAACTTGACAACACATTGTAACACATACATACATACAAGAACAGCAGGGCATGCCAGCTCAACGACATGCTCAGGGTGTTGCGGCTTTAGATGGCCATGGAGAACACGCCGCGAATGCAGCCACGCTAATCACTGACCTCGCGAAAGGATGCAGCACTTGGCAGTACGTTTTCTCGCTGGAGCTAAGCGATGCCATGCCTGGAGCATCAGCTGCTTCCCGATGCTTCCCGTCAGCAAGCGGGGTCTTTAAGCAGGTGCCTACGGAGCAGGCCAGGGAGGCTCAGGCGGGGCAACTGTACCGGAATGTGGCCACAACAAGCAGGCCAGGTCTCAGGCGGGGCAACTGCACCGAAATGTGGCCACGACAAGCAGGCCAGAGAAGCTCAGGCGGGGCAACTGTACCGGAATGTGGCCACAACAAGCAAACCAGAGAGGCTCAGGCGGGGCAACTGTAGGGCGGGGGGAGCAGCGGGGGTTTGGGCATGCATTGGAGCCCTTAAAAGATTTCTTTTCAAGAAGGAGGGCGGGCGTGGGGGTGGGGTGGGGCTTGAAGGCATAGGGGTGGGAGGGCCAGCGAGCCTTGAAGGCTGGGGGGGGGGTAGAGGGCGGAGAGCCAGTCCCCGAGCAGTAGAGAGTTTTGAAAAATTCCCCCCTCATTCGTTTCTTGTTTGTTCTCTTGTGTTCGTTATTCGAAAGTAGAGAATGAGTAAAGAAGTAGAGACTTAATTTAGATTCCACCCGCCTCGTTCTTGTTTTTATTTCTTGTGTTCATATTTCGAAAATTGGAGAAGTAGAGAAGTGGAGACTTAGTTTAAGTTCCACCCCTCTCGTTTCTAGTTTATAATCTACATAACAACAAATCCTTTTCGGGCGTACCCGAAAAGCGGGTGTTGGGGGGGGGGGGGGGGGGGGGGGGGGCGCGCAGCCTCCCCCATCTGCTTGTTGTTGCCAGCCCTCCAAGGACCTTTCTTGTTCGAAAAGAATTTAAATTCACCCCCATCGTTTCTTGATTTTCTTGTGTTTATTATTCGAAAATCAGAGAATTACTCTAAATTCCACCCCCGTCGTTTCTTCCTTTTGTTTCTTGTGTTCATTATTCGAAAATCAGAGAGGAGTAGAGAATTACTCTATAAATTCCACCCTCCTTGTTTCGTGTTGTTCATCATTCGAAAATCAGAGAGGAGCAGAGAATCATTCAAAATTCCACCCCCCTCGTTTCTGGTTCATTATTCGAGAATCAGAGAGGAGTAGAGAAGTAGTCTATAAATTCCACATCTCCCGAGGAGCCGAAAAAATGCTCGGCGTGTTGCTGCAAATTTCCCGAGTTTGGCTTTGGTTCTGAGCAGCAGCGTCGTCGGATTGTTTGAAGGGTTTCTTGTTCATCCAAAGCAACAAGCCCTTTAAACTCCCCCCAAGGAAACTCAAAAGAAGACTGTATACCCAAGTCCAAGTCCTCTCAAGAGAGCTTTAAGGAAGTACTGGGTCGATGTGGTTTATTAGCCCGCAAGCCGCTGTGTGCCCTGCGGAATCAGCAAAATTCACAAAGGTGGTGCTTACCAGGCTATAGTTCTGTAAGCTTCGTTTGGAACACGAAACGCGAGGGCACGCTAGCAGTGAGCATGTGACTATGTGACCGTTTTATATGCTGTATTTGATGCACGAAACGCATCGAAACGCCAAGGTGCGCCTGCGAGGGCGTCATCGCTCGTTGCAATCAGGGTTCAGGGTAGTAATGAAGTCAGAAGTCCAGGGTGCGTAACAGGCCCCATGCAAAAACACCGACTTTATGACACAACAGGGAACGTCGAACGTGTGTAACGAAGGGGGGGACGCCGCGACATACCCCTATTCAGACCCACAGCCATGTCGCACTCATAGGTTCGAGTACATGTTGGCCTTGGCCTTGCCAAGACAGGTCCGAGGTATCGTTCGCGGTATCGTTCGGGTATCGTTCTGACAACAATACGGAGCCCCCCATCCAAAGCCCATTTCTTGAGGTTAGGTTTCAAATGGCAGTTCTGTTTCGTCGCTGTGCCCTGCGGGAAGGCTCCGCGAAACAGGCGTTCTGTCAGCCTCTCAAGCTAGCCTCACGTGGCTATCACCGAGAGGTAGCTTCAAAAAGAAGTTCACGGGTGAATCCATGGCAGCGGTACTTTGTCGCTGTGCCCTGCGGGAAGACTCCGCAAAACATGCGTTTTTTCATAGTTGCATCCTAGTCTCAAGATGCTATCCAAGAGGCAGAGAGTTTTTCCTATCATTATCGCATGTTTTGGGCCTCGTGTGCCCTCGGGATTTCGGTTCTGGGCTATCTTCTTGACATGTTGGGCTACCTTCTGTGCCCTGGGGTTGGGCTATCTACAAGGTGATTGGGCCAAGAAGCCACGCGCGCTCGTACCAAAAGTAAGGTCGTCACTCCAAAACCTAGTTCTGGGTGGGAAACGTTCTCAACTCGACCCCGGTCCGTGCTCAACACGTGGGCTGCGTTCTCGACTCACCCTCGGTGCGTTCCCGACACACACCTCCCCCGTTCCCGACACGCCCTGCCCCTGTTCCCAACCCACCCTCGGCTTGCTCCCAACACGTGTAACCGACTCAACCGTCATCCGAGTGTCCCCAGGGAATCCAACAGCATCCCACAATGGATTGTCGCAACCTTTCAGTGGCTTGCTGGGTCTGGTCAGCACCCATACCGCGCCTTGCATCGTGAGGCGGGGACCTGTTCGGCTACATCTCGGCTATCTGCTCCTTTGCGGCGAAAACATTGCCATTTCGTGGAGCGTAGCCCAGTTTCCGGGTTTCCTGTCCGCGCGGTCCGCCGGCGAAAACATTGCCATTTCGTGGAGCGTAGCCCAGTTTCCGGGTTTCCTGTCCGCGCGCTCCGCCGGCGAAAACATTGCCATTTCGTGGAGCGTAGCCCAGTTTCCGGGGCTGTCCGCGCGCTCCGCCGGGCAAAACATTGCCATTTCGTGGAGCGTAGCCCAGTTTCCGGGGCTGTCCGCGCGCTCCGCCGGGCAAAACATTGTCATTTCGTGGAGCGTAGCCCAGTTTCCGGGTTTCCTGTCCGCACGCTCCGCCGGCGAAAACATTGCCATTTCGTGGAGCGTTGCCCAGTTTCCTGTTTTGCAGTGATGGTTGCGATAGGCAAAAGAAACGGGCAACTGGGCCAGTACTGGGCCTGGGGCGGGGGAATGGGTAATTTGTGGGATGAACACTGCCGTCTAGGCTTCATCCCAGAGTTCCAGACTCCGTGCCCGGAAACCAAGAAGGATTCCCCTTTGCAACGCAACATTTCAAAAACAGCCATGCGATCAAGTTTGGGAGCTCCCGAAGCTCTCAGGATCACTACCGTCTCCGGGCTTGGGAACTTGGGGGGGGGGGGGGGTGACCCCTCTCCCAGCTGGTTTTCTTTCAGCTGAAGCTGAAAAACGTTTTTTCGGCCTAGAGGGTGGGAAGGAGGGGGTGGCCCTTTGAAATTTCAGGAGGGGCGCTTCAGGGTGGGACGTGGGTAGGTTCAGACCCCGGGACCCCTACAGCAACACAAGCGAAGCGAACCGTTTTTTCCTTCCCTCCCCTTCGGAACAGTCCCCATCAACCACTTCGGCGTCCAAATTGACAGCTAGTTAGCAGGCCCCGGCCCGAGCTGGCATGTGCTGGCATATGCTGGTTTCACCTCTTGGAAAAGTCATTGTCGCTGTGTCGTGTTCTTTCACCGTTTTTTGTTTTTTTATTACACCCCACGCTAACACTTACACAGGGTTCAAGACATGCCATTAGCTTTTAATGTCAGGCTTCCGGGACATGGCGATGTTTCGCGGACAGGAGACGCGAAACGTTGCTACACTTCAGGAAACGGCAGTGTTTTTCGATGTTGTTCGCGGCGGAGCGCGCAAACAGCACGCCGAAATTGTGCCACGCTTCGGGACGTGGCAATGTTTCGCGGACAGGAGACGCGAAACGGTGCTACGCTTCAGGAAAAATGGCAGTGTTGTTCGCGGCGGAGCGCGCTGACAGGAAGTCCGAGATTGTGTTCACCGTGGCCAACACGAGGCGCTCGCTGGTGTGCACGTGCGCTCCCACCCAGGGAAGGCCTGTACGCCGTACACGTTTCCTGGATGGGTCGTTCTTGGCAGCCCCGTCGGCAAGGTGACGGTAGAGAATAGCACGAGGCCTTGTTCGCACATGTTCGCATTTCACAGCAGCTCGTGACGCTGCCGTGATGCATGGTCTGGGCAAGCTGCTTTGGGGGCAGATGCCGCGCTTGCCCTCCCGCCATCTCCCGCCGACTAGTTCCCAGCTTGTTAATTACTATCTTCTGCACAGGCCTTGATGTTGTATTACACGCGTCGTTCGCCCTGTCACTCCTTGCCATACAATTTGACCCCTTACCCCTTGATAAATGTAAAATGGGAGGGGCACATTAATGCAAAACAATATTTTTTACATTTTCAGGTTTGTGCTGCAGGGTAGGGTAACTTGGGGGGGGAGGAAGGTAAACAATCGCTGCCTGCACTGTTTTACGTCGCTTTGTGATTCTTGGCGATGCCATCCCCGCCCCCTCTAAAAAAAAGTCGTTGGGCCGGTTGGGTGGAAAAACTATGGAGAAGCCATGGGCTTCGCAGGGACATGTCGTGTCGTAAGGTTTAGGAAGCAAAGTCACCACTCCTTCGCCACATCAACTGACTGAGGGGCTCAGCCACATCAACTCAGGGTGACCGGGATCGGGCCCCCCGAAGCCGAGAGGATAAAGAGCCCCCCCCCCCCCACAAGCAGGTTGCCGTGTAGCCCTCAACACCCTAAAAACGCCCTAAATACCCTATAAATACCCTAAACTCCTGCAAGCTGGCGATGTTGAAGAATATCCAGCTGCGATGTTCTGCATGTTCTGCTGGGCTGGCCTCGTGAAATATTCTGCTATGCATGAAGTTTTGAGAGTCACATCTCATATCCCAAGCAATCCCATGCATAGGATTTTTACATTTATTGTTTCTCCTCGTCCCCCCAGCCCGAAAATGTAGTTTACATATTCGGCCCCCCTCCATGCTAAGGGGAGGGGGCTACAATCGAAATAACAATATTGTGCTGGAGATATGGGTTGTTGGTCGCCAGGAAGAGTCCTACAATATCTAGAATCTACAATAACATTGGTGAACGAACTCGCAGGAAATGTGGTAAAGCGTTTATATTGAACCCCGCAGCCCATGCGGAACCTGCATGAGTGACCAGGCAAAGGTCCATATGACCGGATGGGAAGAGGCCTGGTAGAGACCGCGGCAACCTCGGCAGCGCAGAGCAGATCTTCACAAGTGTCAGCAAGATGTGCAAGCAATTCTTGAGCCGACGCGATGTGCTGGCATGTTCTGCCTGGTTTCGTCATGTGAATATTGTGCGATTGGGAGACTTGCGGGGGGCACCACATCGTTTGCGCTGTCGATTTCAAAAAGATTGAAATCCCCTCCTCGGCATCGGGCGGGGGAGTGCAAGTTGCTGGCACTGCTCAGGCAGCCAGATGCTTGACGGAGTTCACAGAGTTGTCTGGTTCGTCCGAGCGCGTTCCCAAGCCTTGTCTTCTTTGCAAAAGAGCTATTTCCGGACACCGCAACCGCCGAACCCATGAATGCCATGAGATCGCCCGGCGAAGGTGGTACTCTCGCGGCTGGGGCCTGAGAGCATTTGAGAGCCAGGAAGGGTTTGCTTGCGCGCGGCCGTGATGGGCTCATGTGGTGTCACTGCAGTGGAGCATCAGAGGATGTAGAAGGCCGGTAAGTCGCGCGATGTCCTTGTGGCGTGTCAGGCTTCTGGCGGCTGGTCTTGCTACTGCACTCGGCGATCTCCCAATTTGGGAATGTGCGAAAAACCGCCCGTGCTCCATTCAGTTTCATAGTGACAACGTCACTGCCGAAGATCTGATCCTGGTGAGCGCTTCGGAGACTTGTGACACCTGCTTTCGAGCCGATGCCGGTGTATGCCCGTGGATCGATGGAGACAGTGGTGTTGATGGACTCACCATCTGTCAAGATGGCAACACTACAGAGTGGCGATGCCAGTTGGCTGGACAAGGAGATCGTGTTCTCTGCCCGCCTAACTTCAAGATGTGTCTAGGTTCACCTGGCCACCTTTTTCTTGCCCTTGTAACTTAAAATACCGTGGGCTTGATTGCATCCGCACCTTTCTCTCTGTTGCTGCTAGCTCTGGTCCCGAGGTGTGTGGAGAAGGCTTGTGGAGGAGGGGCTGACTTCTGCTGTGATGCCACGGACTCGGGAGAGGGCATCGTGCCGTGCCAAGACAGAGGAGGTCCGCGTCATTGTCGGTATATGTCGCTTCAGAACCTGAGAGCCACCATCAACGAAACTCATGGCTCTGTGGAACCAGGCGGGCCTCCGCCTATACGACCCGAGATATACGTATCGTGAAGCAACACGCGAAGACCCTAACAGCATCCCTGCGCCAAAGCTTGAGCTTCTTGTTGAGGCGCCTACGCTGTCTGTCGTTGCAGTCCCGCCGACTTTGCTGCCAGAGCCACGGGTCAAATGCTCCCTGGTGTTTCGTTGCGGTCAGCTAGGTGAAAGCATGAGGGCAGGAGGGTGGGGTGGTGGGGGAGGCCTGCGTCGATGCATCAGAAAAGAGGGTGGTTATGAATCGTTTATGCTCCTGTGCATTGGACCATAACATGATCCCTCATATATGTGCATATATGTAAATATGTATATATATATATATATATATATATATATATGTGGAATGAACCCCGCGTACAAGGACTGGCCTATGAATTACCAAGAATTATTGTTCTATTCACTATCGAATGTTGAATCCTAAAGTTGTTCCGTGAACGAAGTGAACACGTGAACACAATAATTGATATGAAAGGAAAAGAGCGTAGTGATGCACGCTTTCATTATAATTATTGTGTGTTGTGTTCATGGTGTTCACGGCCCCTTTTAATATACTATGAACGAATTAACGACGAAGCGTGCGTTTCATTTACCTTCGTTTTTACTTCGTTAATATAATATGAAAGGGAGAAGGGAGTTTTTGACCGTTTTGTTTGCGAATTTTAATGCTGCGCTGCGGATCCCTGCGGGATGTGCCCTTCATGTTTAGCCCTATTGGTGTAAACCTGATTAGTCCAAAACCTTACATCTATATGCTGACACCCTCTTCAAAAACCTTACACGGTCCCTCCCCACGAAACATTCCGCTAATGCCCAGGCCCTGTTCCCACACTTTCAACGAAACATTGCTTCCGAAACCTAGTCCAACAATCATGTTTTCCCTCGCGACTCGCCACGAAAACCCCAGCCAACCCACACCTGCAGCGAGTATGGGCCGTCCCGAACCAAAACGGAGCACCCCGATGCAAATGGAACCCGGGAACAAAGAACCAAGAACCAAAATTCCGCATCATCTTGCTCGAAAAGTGACCGTTTCTCAGCCTGAATGTTGGCCATGGCACCCCAAACCCTAAGCACTAAACCCTAAACCCTAAACCCAAAACCCAAAAAACTAAACCCTAAACCCTAAACCCAAAACCCAAAAAACTAAACCCTAAACCCTAAACCCTAAACCCTAAACTCTAAACCCTAAACCCTAAACCCCCGTAAACGCTTGCGAAACGGGTGGGAAAAAACCCTAAACCTAAACCCCAAATCCCTAAACCCTAAGACCCCTAAACCCCAAACCAAAGCGAATCCGTGGGGTGCACCTTCGCTGCAGTGGGTGGAGCACCCTGTGCAAGGCCTCTACGCCTCTGCGCGTACGTGTGAGATGCGGGGGGGGGGTCACTACTCCCAGAAAATGCCTTGTGCCAGCCCCTCGCGGGGGGAGTGGCAAGGCATTAGAATGCCTTGCGCGCCCCCCAAATGCCTTGCAGACCCCCCCCCCCTTACAAGTATCTAGAAAGGGTTCAGGGTTGCAAGGCATATCTAGGTTTGTTATTTTAGCCCTCAGAGGTTGTCATGTTCTGAGCAGGGGTCTCATGCTTTGTCTATGCTTCGAGCAGGGTTCGGGGTCCGTCGTGAGTTGTGTTCAGTCCAAGGGCTTGTGGTGTAACGTGGTGTAGTACTGGGCTCAGGGCTCAGGATTCCTTGTGTTTGGAAGAGCCATTCTCGCATATTTGTTTTCGCCGGCCGGTCAGCCTCGGATCCTTAGGTGTGCGTGTGCACGACCAGGGTGGCTAGAGTCTTGTACTCGTCGCCATGCCTGAGCGAAGTCGCCTTCTGGCAGAGTATCCAAGCAATGCTCCATCACTCCCAGAAAATGCCTTGTGGCAGCCCCCCGCGGGGGGAGGCGCGAGGCATTAGAATGCCTTGCGCACCCCCCAAATGCCTTGCAGACCCCCCCGCCCCTTTACAAGTATCTAGAAAGCAGCTCCGTCCATTCAGGGTTGCATGAAACATATCTAGGTTTGTTAAAAAAGCCCTGAGAGGTTGTAATGTTCTGAGTAGGGGTCTCATGCTTTGTCAATGCTTCAAACAGGGTTCGGGGTCCTGGGGTTAAAGACTTCAGGCCTTAGAACATTACAACCTCTGAGGGCTTATATAACATGCCTCATGCAACCCTGAATGGACGGAGGTGCTTTCTAGATACTTGTAAAGGGTGGTCTGCAAGGCATTTGGGGGGCGCAAGACATTCTAATGCCTTGTGCCTCCCCCCGCGGGGGGCTGCCACAAGGCATTTTCTGGGAGTGCCAGCTATCTGTGCATCCAGGTCAGCTTTATTTGCATTTTTTCTTCGTTTGTGGTTCGTTTGTGTGGCCCAGTGGTCTATGTCATCGCTGAATCCTTTTTCATCTGCTTTTGCTTCACTTCTCCAGACCCAGGGGACTCGTGGATGTGGTTCCTTCTCACACTTTACCATAAGGTATTGTAGGACACTACCGATACTAGTATGACATTGTACTCTGAAGCCCAAGAAGTCCCGAAGAGAGACAAGAGAGAAAGGACGCAACTCTGGGACGCTCTGCAAGTCATGTAGGGGTTCGGGTGTTGACTCCAGTCTCTGGTCCCGGCCGGCACTTAGGGTTTAGGGTTCAGAGACTTATCGAGTGGAGAGCACTTTTGCTGCTCATGGCAAATGAGCGTCTTGTGTGGATTTCCTTATGGGGGGACGTAGGTGGGGGGGAGACGCAGGGCATTCCGGGTGGCTTGATTTCCAAGAAACAATGCCTTGAGGGAGGGGGGGGATCGTTTTAGACGTTGTTAGTAGGGGATGTTAACGGTTAAGGGCCTGGGCTTTAGGGTTTAAGGGTTTAAGGGTTTAAGGGTTCAAGGGTTTAAGGGTTTAAGGGTCTAGGGGGCGAATTGGATCCCCGTTCAAGGGATCAAAGATCCAAGTTTCCCCCCCCTCCCGGGACTCTTCCAGGGAAGTCTTGGATCCTGGACCTTGGGGAAAGGGGGAGGGGGGATTGAATCCAACCGAGAACGATTGAATCCAATCGGCCCGGATCCGAGATCCAAGATTTGGCGGGACTCTTCTAGGCAAATCTTGGATCCTGAGCCTTAGCAGAGCGCCTGCCTGCTTTTTTGCGGTGGCTTTAGGTAACAAACTTCAAGTGCGAAGTACAGAAATACATACATATATAAATAGAAGACAGACCACTAAGCAATCAATATCAATATCTAATATCGAATATCGAATATCTAATATCTAATATCTAATATCGAATATCGAATATCGAATATCTAATATCTAATATCTACTATCTAATATCTAATATCTAGTATCTAGTATCTAGTATCTAGTATCGAATATCTAATATCTAAATCTATATTGTATGTGTGTATATATGTGTATATGTATACATATATATATGTATATATATATATGTAGATATATATCTATGTGTGTGTATATAAATATAAATAAATAAATATATACATATATATATATGTATATATATATCTATGTCTACACGTGTGTGTAGATCCACATGTCGTCAGGGAAGCGATCAAACGTTCTTGAAACCAAAAAAACGGTGCAAAGACTCGGGTCGCATTTTTGTTAATCAATTCGATCGGAGCTTGAGTCATGTGGCTGCCTTGGTTGGCACATATTGGCACCTCCCATACCCAAAACTGAAAGTCAAGAACGAAGTGCGAGTTTCAAGAGAAAAATCCCAGATTTGAGTGCTTGGTTCTTTGTGGGGACTTTGGCTTTCACACATCGCAATTTTCACAAAAGTAGCCCGAGCATTGGGAAACATGTTTGGGTCCAATGTCCCGGAGCAAGAATAGCCCCTAAACCGCAAAGTGGCCCGCAATTTTAGGAAACATGTTATGGTCCAATGCACGGGAGCAAAAACGATTCCTGAATGCTTTTATTGATGCATCGACGCAGACCTCCCCACCACAGACTGACAGCCAGCAGTGAGCGCAAATAGCTGCTCTCCGAGCGCACTTTGCCTGGGGCCTCACGAAAAAATGGTTACGGTCAAATACACAGGAGCAAGAACGGTTTTTGATGCATCGAGCACCCTCGTGTAGGGCGACATGCCGAAGACTAAATTGGACCTGCCAAGGCTTGGAACCTTGCATGTCGTGGGTCCCGGCAGTCTGCACAAGCAAAGCTGCCTGTCCGGGAAACGCCTGTGCTTTGCAACGGCCACGAACTCATTTGGCCTGTCCATGGTGACGTCACTGTTCCAGGTGACGCCCGCCACCACTTGCGCCGATGTGGAAGCAGACACGCCGCAGTCTTGGGCCGAGAACTTCCGGTTTCAGTGGAACAGCCACTTCTCGGGCGCGTACTTGGACGCCACCCTTACGGGACGGAAGTGGATGGCTGGGCGGGATCCTGGTATATACCGCCTCTGCTGGTGTCAGAATGATACGGAAGGTGCCTGTGAGTCTCTTTCCGACTTCAACGTGTCTGCCGGACTGATGACCTGGCATGGGCCCTTTAAGAGGGAAGTGCCAGAAGTCGCTACCATCGGTGAAGTCTTCAAGCTCGAGTTGTCGGGAGTGGGGATCAGTTCCAACAGTGTCCTGAGCATCCAACATGACTGCGGCACTGAAGGACCCAGCCTCTCGGCTAAGGCAACTCAGTCTTCAACGAAGTTCCTCTACAATTTTGGCCAAGTCGCGGAGGACAAATTACCTCCTGGCAGGTACCGTGCATGCTGGTGTGAGCCGGTTCCCAATTCGCCTTGTTCGCTGGCGGTTGATCAGATCACCCCAGTTGCAGAGGTTTTTGTCCGCTGTCCACCTGGGCTGTACAGCCCCAACGGAACGGGAGCCTGCCAGCAGTGCGACTATTTTTGGGACGAGCCCAACCAAGCCCGAGACGACTGCAACACCCGGGCCGCGAACGCTGGCCAGATAGTTGGTCTTTGCCTGTGCTACCTCATTGGCTGGGTTCTCCTGTGGTATCAGATGAGCTTCTCCATCGAGCCAGGGTGCAGACGTTTGAGCATCTCAGGGCGGAAGGCGCGCTTCTGCAGATTTTTTCAGGAGTCCTTAAGCCTTAAGACCGAAAGCAGGGCCTCACCTCCCCCCGCCAGGTGCACATTGCAGATATCTCCTCCACGCCCTCGGAGAACGGAGACTGGACGGCAACTTGGCTGCCTTGGGAGCCTTGGTGTAGGGATGTTGCGGGTGTTTGCGAGTGTTTTTAGCGAGCCTTGGGGGAGAGAAGAGAACTTTCGGGGGGGGGCGTGGGGGGCAGAAACTTCGCTCTCCAAGGGCAGCCCCCCAGCGCCCCGAAATCCAGAGAGGCCTTCGTCACGACCGTCCAGCCGCATCACCTCACGGCCCGCTTTGGCACGTTTCCCATCTACTTCTACCAGACAGGCAGCTCGCGACTTTCGAACCAAAGAAAGTCAAGGGGAGGTTGGGATTGAAGGTCGAAGCCCAGAACAGATCTGTGTGAGGCCACTACCAGCTCGACCGGAAGCCGGCGCCCGGGAGCTTCCTTTACCGGGCGAGGCCCGTGGGACCGAATCGCCTCCAGCTCCTCGACGCACCTTGGATCGGAACACGCTTGGTCGCATGGGCGTGGGATGGCGTGGGATGGGTCTATGGGCCTAGGGGTCTCTATGGGTCTCTGAATGCGTCTCTGAATGCGTCTCTGAATGCGGCTCTGAATGCGTCTCTCAATGCGCTAAGGACAAGGGCAACTCGGTGGCGAGTGCCGACACCTCCCGGGGCTGCTGAGCTCTAGTTAAAGCCCAACTCACGAGTCGCAGCTTGCCCGTAGTCGACGGAGTATCTGCAGTGGTCAGGGCGGCAGCATGCAGCATGCATGTCGAGGTAGGTGGACATAGTTGGTAGTGAAGGTCGAGGGGATCGGCAGATCAGCATGGCATATGGGTGGCGTTGTGGCAGACTGCATGTTTAGATCGAGATCTCCCGACCGACGCAAGCCAGTTCTGCTGCGCACTGTGGGGACGTGGTGATCCTCTGATTTTGCTACTGGAAGGGCAGCCGAGGTTACTTTGTGCTGCGCTACGCCCGTTGCGTAGTACACACGGACTTACTCCGCGGCGTGCCGGTGCTGCTCGTGGCCTCTGTCGCTGGAGACTTTTGGAATTCAGCTTTCCGCAGTTTCGTGAAAACCAGTCGCCCCCAAGCCCTTATTCCGACTCTTCATGTGACAGCTCTTCCAATGCTCAACGAAGGTCTTGTTGCTGGCTTCCGTCCCCTTGCTGGTTCTTGCAAACCTTCAGAGCGAGCCAACATTCCAAACTTGGGGCGGGACTGGAGTGGCACTCTCGGGTTGCCTTTTGGGCTGCGTTGCTGCTTGGCTCTTGAGGCACTTGAGGGAGAGACCGTCGCCGATACATCAGTCCATCCAGGTCTTCCTCAGGGACCTCCAGCGGAGGCACCCGAATCCGGTGGCATGCAAGAAGGGTCCTGATCGTGCGCTCACGGCTTACCAGATCTTCGACTTGATGCAGCAGTTTCAGCAGTACATACGGGATCGGAACTTGTATTACATCGACTCTAACATTGTCCAACCTTTGACCTCTCATGTGAAGTTGTCTCTTGCCGAGCTACTGGGCCCCTCCACAGTCGCGTGGTTCGTGTCTCACTACTGGGGCACGAAGTTCGCTTACACTTGTGAAGCTTTAAGGCGGCATGCCGAGCACGTAACTTCAGGACAGAAAGGGACATCCTGGCAAACGATCTCATACTGGATCTGTGCTTTCAGCAACAACCAGTATCAAATAGCGCATGAGCTCGGCACCAGTCACAAGGAATCATCCTTTTACCTGGCCTTGCACAGCGCCCCTGTTCAAGGGACCTGTATGATCTTGGATGAGAAGGCCCTGCCGTTGACGAGGTCCTGGTGTTTGTTTGAGCTGCTCCAGACCGTGCTCCTGGAGAAGAAACGCGAAGACTTCAAGGGTCTCCAGTTCTGCACAAACACCGGCATTGTGAACTTTGGGCAGGCTACGACTGAGGTGGCTATCACCATCGGGAAGCGGCTTGCGGATCTGTCCCTATCAGAAGCTGAAGCGACATGCGAGGAGGACCAAGAGACCATCAAGTCTCTTGTTGTTGAGGAGATGGGCAGCTTCGACGAGATGGACAAAATTCTCGACATGAAGATTAAAGATGCCCTGGTGATCTGCAAGAAATGCACCAACGACGAGTTCAATCGCCTCTTTGAGCTCATTGATAGCTTGTATGTGGCTGAGGGGGCTGAGGCGGAGGGCTCTAATGCTGACACGATATTGGGATTGTGATACGGCATATTTCCGACGTCGGCACATGCCTTCGGGTTGTGTCGCGAGACGTTTTTCCGAAGACGGCCTTGCCAGCCTTCTCGTGTCTCGAAGAGATGCATGCGAAAGGCGCCTTCGCAGACGTGTTCGTTAGATTTGCTTACCCCTCTCGGTCCTGTGTAGTCATCATGAAAGAGCCGCAGATCGAGAACGGGTTTTCTTGGTGTTGAGTTGCAGTCTCTTAGTTTCGGGTTAAGGGTTTAGGGTTTAGGATGTACGGTTTAGGGTTTAGTGCTCCTAGTTCGATCTTGTTGCATCTGTGTTCCGAAGAGGAGTCAAATGGTCCGGCCTCGTGTGTCAGCCAATTCTCAGCTGCCGCTGCGATGTCTGAAATGCATTGTTTTTTTGCATCCATCGTGAGGGCAACTGAGACCCTATGTCGTGAAGACAAAAAGGGATCCTGTTCATCGCGATGCCTGCGACTTTGACTTTTACTTGCCGTGCCGTTCAACAATCGGGTTTGGGGTGATGCTAGGAGAGGCTCCTCCAGCTCTTCCGCTGAATCCCTGGACCTGAGAGAAAACAGGAACTTGGCGCGCGGATCCCCAGAGAGGTGTCGGGACGCTGCTTCAGTTCATTGAAAGGTTGCTGACGGCTCTGTGCAGTTTTGTGATGTGTCCATTCGCGCTTCGTGTTATGTCTCTGGTGCTTGGCCGAAACCTGCGAGCTTGATGGCCCAACACCTCTGCAAAAGTGTAGGTGATGATACACCCTTCTCCCAACACACTCCTAATGTACGTTCGCTTTCAGGAGCAGGTTCGCTTGGCCAACGTGGCACGCTTCTCCAGCTTCTCTGATGGCAAGTACTAGGTAGATCACTAGATCCCATTACGATGATCATGAGAGATCTCATGATCATCGTAATCGGATCAAGTGCGAACAAGCAAGCATCGCCTGTGGCAGATTTGTCTTGAGGGCCTGTGGCTTCTGGCCTGATCCATCAAAAGATCAGCTCTTTGAATATTCTGGGAATGCACTTAGTATCTCATTCCTGCAGTAAGGCCGACCCGTGTTCTGCTGACACACTGAGTCGACATGCAGAAGATGTGTCCATTTTGTCTGGCGGGGATGGGCAAGATTCCTGCACGAGCCGTCGCCTTTGTTTGGTGAGCTCCATGCTTTGTGCTTGGGCTTTCTTGGGCCGAGGCCGAAGCACATGGCGTTCATTGCCGCTGGCTTTTGCCAGAGGAGCGACCTTTGGCATGCAGTGAACCACAAATGGAGCCTTGCATCAGTATCCCGTCCTTCGAGGCGGAAGTCCCTGATCGGGAAGCTTCCATCGCATGCTGCCAACTCAGCCCAACTCAGGCAGTGCTGCATGTGCTGCATGTGCTGCATGTTCTGGAGGCCGAAAGCCACATAAACGAGAGCAGCAGGTCAGGCCAGGGCATCCATTGCAAAGACGACTCCGAACCACGGGCGCGGGCCTGAGCACCTCGACCGGCTGCGCACCATTCCAAACTTCCCGCGGGTCGACACTGGCTGAGATCTGGCAGCAAACCTAAGCCTGAACCCTAAAAGTAAAAAAGTTGTCGGGTGGGCAAACCCTATCAGAACATGCAAACCCTAAAACCTAAAAAGAAGATGTTGGGTGGGCAAACCCTAAGAACATGCAAACCCTTAACTCCACAAGAAGAGGATTTGGGTGGGCAGACCCTAAACCTGAAGATGTTGGGTGGGCAGACCCCAAACCCTAAACGAACCCTAAACCCTCAAAGACGAGGGCAAACCCTAAACCCCATAAGAAGATGCTGGGTGAGCGAACCCGAAACCCTAGAAGAAGATGTTGGGTGGGCAAGCCCTAAAACCCTGAGCCGAAGGGGCTAGACGAAGAAACCGCAAGCCAAAGGAGCACAGACAAGAAACGGCACAGCTGGCCGCAAAAAGAAGGACAGGAATCACCACCGGGGACAAGTCACAAGCCACCAAATCCATCTTGTAAAGAGAAAGAGCGGAGGCAAAGCAACACCAACACAACAAGACACAGATTACCCACCAAAAAACCGGCCCAAGTAGCCAACATCTAGATGACAGCTAAAGCACAGGTTTGGGCCATACTGCATCTTCAGATTTTTGGGGGTGAAAGCTGGGGTAGGGGTGGGAAGCAAATCTGCCGGGGGGGCCTGCGCTTGCATCGCTGAAGTTTGTGATGTTGGGGCAGCAAAAGGCCTGGGAAGCCATACCGTGGCTGAAGCAGAGCTACTGCAAAGCTACTGCGTTTTCGGACTTGGGATTTTTGGGTCGGATTGGGGGGTGTTGTGGTGCATTTTTCCTAGTTCCTTCCAAAGATCGCTGCAGATTTCGCGGCACTCGGGCTCCGCTGCACAAAGTACCAAGAGCAGCGCAAGAAACTCATGAGAGGACAATCGAGACACTTGTGAGATTTTGGCTATGATCCCACCTTCCTGCTTGAACATTGGCGAATAACGCACAGCGTGGTCACGTAGTCCTTGTTCGTGGCCATGGAGCGGGCACCTGATGCCACCGCCCAGCGACTTCTGAAAAAACTCCTCTCTGAGGAGCATGACAAGGCCAGCTTGGAGTGTCTTTCGTTGTCTCGTATGCGGTTGGTAAAGGACACATTTTGAGGTGTAGCAGGCTGTATATGGGGGGGCACAGCATGATGGTCTCACCTGTTTCCGGCCCCCAACAAGCGCTAGCTTACTTTCAGGCAGCAAGTTACATTGTGCTTGTCACCTACGTGGTGCTGTTTGGCAATGTTATCTGTTATCATCTATGTCGCGAACATACGACCTGGTCAGGTGTTCCATGACATGATTGCTGCCCCTCCGCCTGATGCTTAGACGTGCGATGCTGCAGTACTATATTCACGACAGCTGGCTCCATGGAGCTTGCGGGAGTTTTTGTTTACAACCTTCCGATTCTTGTCGTGGGGTAGACGGCTTGGGGCCTAGGGGGATGTTTTGGTTGACGTTTCAGGGACTTAAGGACATGCGGCCCCCCTCCTTCCCTACCTTTTGTCTGAACTCTCAAGACGCGCCGTTGCGTGCCTTTGGTCCCGATACATGGGTGGGGGGGTTGAGCCGACCCCGCCTGACCTTAGGCGCCCCCTCGCTTGGCAGGGGGCTAACGAAGATGAACCTGTCGATTCCCAATTCTTCAAGAACATTTTTGTGCTTGACTCGGTTTTGACTCCATTTTTCACATACTTTCAGTCGGTACGGCGCCATGCACTTCAAGGTCTCCACAAGTAACTCGAATGATCCCAGAGTGACGAGAAAGTTGCCCAGATCCCTCACCCAATCGCTGTAGAGGTGCGGCCACTCACCGCTAACCTTGGTTCTTTGGAGCTCCAGGTACCTTCAACCCCATCAGACTCGTCCCTTCGCAAAGAAGAAGTCACAACAACGCTTCAGCATGAAGTTTATAACTAGGCAGCATCGACGAGAAGACACACATGGAACAATTGAGATCTAAAAGCATATCAAGAAAGAGCGGTGCTGGTTTTTAATTTTTCTTAAGTTTGAAAGCAGGGCGGACGAAGGTTAGGGTCCGAAGGTGACACCCGACAGCTGTTCAGGGCGTGCACAGCGTGCTGGCTTTAGACTTTGGAGCTTTGGAGAATTTTGGAGACCTACGCTAGGCGCTGAGCAGCTGAGCATTCAGCTCAGGATGTAGGCTTGCCTCTTTTCCGTGAAAGTGCCCGGCGCCAGCCAAAGCATTCAGGCGTCGCGACTCGGCAACCTCTGTTGCGAGCCTCGAAGGGTTGCGGCAGCAACTGACCTCGTCCAGGCCTGAGATGGTTTCCTGCATTGACTCAGCTCCTGTGGAAACATTTGCACTAGCAGCCACTAGCAAGCACATGCGCGTGCGCCATCCCAGGCTGGACACTTTGCTGCAAAGGGTCTACGAGCGACAAGACCAGTCATCTGGTGCCATGGTTGCCCGCATTGCAAGCCTGGAGCGACAGATAGGCTTGCTCAATGGCCAGTTTCTTGCCAGCACTAGTCGTTATCACGATCGCCGACAACTTATTCCACAGCAGATTGGGGGACGTCTTGATTCTTGGGAGCCTTTTCGAAAAGACAACTCGGAGTCAACGCCTCCTTGCCGTCTTCCGACAACACAGTGACAAAACACAGCGCGCGCAACACGGACAACACGCGGAACACGCGCGACACGCGCAACGCGCACAGCACGCGCAACACGGCATCCAGAACTTAGGTATGAGGCCACTCTTGTGGAGAGGAGAAGCAGCAAGGTGAGGAGAAAGCGCTTTCTGACATCTTGTTCCAAAAGTCCACAAGCGGCCCGGAAGAAGCAGAAGGTTCAGGAGGCGTTGTCTCCAGGACGGCTGCTCAGCTAAATCAGCTTGGCACATGCACCCATCAGCCGAAGTACGCTCATTGGGCAGTGTGGTAGCTCCTGGATCCAGGCCATTGTGACGTGAAAAGCCAGCCACCCTGAAGTCAGACGTTGCTGCAGGAAGACTGTCGTGGACCGAGGTGCGCTGGCCAAGACGACCCTGCGTGCCGAAATCTCACCTGTGCGTTCTTCGATATCGCAGATGAGGAGGATGAGAATGACCAGGCGCTACACGAAGGGGCGCTGTTGTCTTGATCGTGGATCATGTAGTGGCTTGTAGCCGCAACTATACATGCACGTTTTTGCTTTTACATGTGTTGATATATATATATATACACATGTGTGTGTACGTAGGACCTTTAGGGTCCACTTGGGAAAGTCTTCTTTTCCCTGAGGAGCCGAGGCTAACAAAACCCAGTCTTACAACCCATCAGGCCGAAAGCCCAAAACCATGGTGTGCCTTGAGTGGAAGAGGATTACATCCTTCATTGATCTGGGTCCTCTGGAGGTCTTTAAAACCCTAAACTCTCAGGGCTGCAATGCAAGCCCTAGTGCGAAAACCTTAAATCGTGATCTGCACCACTCGAGTCTTGAGCGCGACAGTCCGACAGTCCCGATTCAGTGCAGGAGTTAAGGCTCAACAAGTTCAACTACCAGCAGCCGTGCCTGCCGAGTCCGGCAGCGGGGACGTCCTCGGAGCCCGGGGAGATGCGGGCGGGGGGAAAGCTGGGGCCGAGGGGGCGAAAAACTTGTGCGAGGGTATCAGAGGGGTCCGATTCCTGGCATTCGGGGGATTTTGGCAATTTGAGGGCAATTTTGTCTTTGGGACATGAACCCTTTCGCAGCCTTTAAGTCTTAAGCCTTTCAGCCGCCTTGCCCAAAACAATAATTTTTGCTTTCAAGCGTCCAAGAGGCATGCTCCAGAAATGTCCGAACTCCTTTGCCCTTGCACTTGCACAGGGTAAATTCAACGATGTTGGAGGATGCTGCCTTTGCAAAGGCACAATCAACACGCAGAACAACCCTTACAAGCCCTTTACCGAGCTCGTGTTGCCATGTTTATGCCACAAATTTATTTGGGATTGTTTTTGTTTGGAAGTCAGAATTGGTTGAGAGGGCGGTTGCCAGGCTTCAGTGCGTTTGGGGTCATGACTCACCTGCTAGCCTCATCCCTCCATACCCACCTTCTTCGCCCAAAACATGGGGCCTGGAGCAGACAAACTCCAGAAATCAACGCGCTCACCCGTGGGCTCAACTTTTAAGAACCCCTCGGTTCCAGGCTTCGAGGCCACTTTCCCCTTGGCAGATGCTGAGTTCTCGTCTGGGACGTGGGTGGCGCACGCGGCGCAGGCTCGGAAGGGCTTGGTGTATCTCCGTGTAGGCCATTCAAAAAAATCCAGGGCCTAGGGCTCACGGGGTTCTTGGTGTTTGTTGACTTCGAAAGGGGCGTTCCCGTAGAGCGATTAGGGCCGTTAGTGGAGCAGCACACCTTCACAGAATTTTCACTTGGATCTTTTAGCCCTACTTCGACGTATCCACCTAAGACTCTAAGAGAGAACTGGGCATATGGAACTGGGTGTCTAATAGGTCTCTAGAACCATCTGACGTGTCCTATTTCCCTGCAAGGCGGTGTCCGCCGGGAGCGAGCTGAGCCATGCCTTGAGGATGGGGAAGGGGCCGCCCCTGCCGTTTTGGGGGCCAGCTTTGAGGTGGATATCTTGGGACATCTCCGGCTTCAGGGATGGGAGGCGAAGCCTGCGAAGCCTTGAGACACCCTCTCTATTGTCCAAGGATCTTTCCAGCCCTGGAGCCTGGGAATAATGCCACATTCGGTGATATCGGCGGAGACACCTGCGCTTGCTCGGAGACCGAGGCCTGTGTTTCGTTTCAAACTCTTGATGGGGCTGCGAGCTGCGACCCGAAGCTACCATAACCCCTATCCCGCCTTCACCAAGGGGTAGAAAGCACGCAAGGTTCCCTAACCTCTCCAACCTGCCAAGACATTTGCTTTCGACTCTGGCTTCTTGGATGGAGGAAGGGCGGGCACACCCCTGAAATCTCAAGCTAGGAATGAATGATAATGAATGAAACAAGCGTTGGTGACCAAGGTAGCTGCCCCCACTTCGGTCACGCAAAGACAACACACAAAGTGAGCGTGGCATCATGGATGGGAGGCTTAGTGCGTGAAAGTGACTTTCCCCGAGGCCCTGAGCCGTAAGCAGCGCCAGAAGCTCGAAAACTTTAGGCTACCCCCACAAAGCCTCCTGAAGCCTTGAAACCCCTTGGATCCCCATGCGATGCTTGTGTCTCTCCTTTTGAACTTCCTTCTATCATCCCACCAAGAATGGGGACCCCCCAGCTTGTGAAAGCCCACTTGTTTGGGAGCAGGAGCTCCATGCGCGCCTCACCGAGTGCATGGAGCCGGGGCGGCTTGGACGCGCAAGTCCCGCGCGAGGTTTAAGGAGTTTAGGGTTA